GGCTTGATGCTAATCAAGGCTTGATGCTAGGCGGGGCCTGAAGCCGAACATTGTCCGATGTCGGTCGGGGCCCATTATATATGATTATGTGTATGGTATGTTGTAGTATGGGTAACTCACTAAGTTTGGTGGTTACGGTTTTCATTTTGGTTTCAAGTACTTCCAGTTGCAAAGAGAAGAGCTTAGGATGACTGCATTGCACACACCATGATATTTAGCCTGAGATGTTTACTTTGGTGTTTTGATTTGGAAGCTCCGATGATAATGTTTTGAAATACTTTGACTCATGTTTTGATGGAATGGTTTGATAACTATGGTTTATTTAATGGTTTAAAATGAAAGCTTCAGTCATGAATGTTGGGATGCTACAATGGGTTAAGTTTGGGTCTTGGATTGGAGATGTAATGGATAAAGTCAGGAACTTTATCCATTAAGTCCCGTAAGAACTTTAGATCTGAACTTTTAAGCTCTGGACGTTAAGGATTAAGCGCTTAATAGAGTAAGTTGTTTGAATGTAATCGCGACATGGCGAATGCCTTACCACGACATGGTGGATTGAGTAGTCTCGCAACTATTTTGTCCTCTAGAAACCACGGTGCGGCCAGGGGCTGGCAACGACATGGTAGTTCGTGAAGGTTAATCGTTAACTTTTGACTAGTTTGACTTTTGGTTAAACTTTAGTAGAATTGGGTATTTGACTAATGTTTGGTTTCGGTTTGGCATTAGGTATCTTGAGTTAGTTTTTATGTTGTTGAGGTTTTTGTTGAGCTTCTGTTGCTTAGCCTATGTGAGTTTCTTCATTATACTATGTGTTACACTGTATATCCTTGCATGATATGATATAGACGAATAGTGGTCTGTTGGTTAGGGTATCGATAGGATTGGTGATCGTCGTATCAAATGGCATAGGAGTTGTATGTATCTATGTAAAATAGCCTGGGAACTCTTGATCTATGATTTCTTTCATGTTTCTTGTTTGGTTGTGGCTTTAGATTATGATCATTTATTCCAATGTTTATCCTATCTATGATTACCTACAGCTATGTATTTATTTGGTAATCTGCTAGTTGTAGCATAGAGTGTAGTAGTATCCCTCTGTATGATGTGAACATGTTGTATTAAGTTGTTAGATAGGTAGATTAGTTTAGATAGTTGCATGTGTCGTTGGATTGTTTGTTTGTCTGTTTGTTACATGCGTCGACATATCTTGTCTTGAGTTTAGGGCAGTCCTACTTTGTACGGTAGGACAAGATACTCGGGAAGGCCAACGTTATGTTGAAGGCTAGGGGAGAAATGGCTTTATGCTACAAGCGAGAGGGGCAAACCAGTTATGGACTGTACTCCAATGTTTGTATGCTTGTATATGTATTGTAGTGTGTGGTATTTTTGGGAACTCGCTAAATTTTGGCTTACAGTTGTGGATTAAATGTTTCAGGTACTTCATATGATCGTTGAAGGGAAAAGGCATGACTGTACACACATCGAGAGCTTCATATTTTGTAATTTTGCACTAATGATTATACTCTGGTTTTAGAGTGTAAACTCTTGGAACAAATGGTTTTTGTGATGTTACTTTAACACAATGGCTTCTTTTATCTGAATTAATAACTAAAAGCAAATGCTGAGAAATTAGGATGTTACGTTAAACCATTTGGCAATATGAGTTTTAACACGCGTTTCTTCTGCAATCAACCCATGAAAATTTAAATCAATTATGATGAGGGGGTACTATGGAGAATTGTTCAATGTAGTCCTTCAAAATCAGAATGTAATTCCATAAAACACTCCACAAAACATTGTCATTCCCTACTCACAATATAGGGTCAGAAGCCTTTATAGACTATGTGAGAACTAAGTTATCCCATAGAGCATACATAACAAAATAAAAATATTGAGTACTAACGATATTATGCTAGAGGGCTCGAATATCATTCTCTAATTGATACTATTTAGCAAAGTTAGACTAAGTGTACATTATTTCCATGTGATCCCAAACTTCTTGTGTTGGATCATATTTTGTCAATTAGGTACTAATTGCCTGAACCAAAAATTATTAATCAAAGTGATAATCTTAAAATTATCAGTTTCCCAAGCATCACGTAATGTTGCATAACTAGCAGCTTTCTTATCATTTGGCTTCCCCTTTAACACTCGTAACAATACCCTACATTTGCTTACTCTTTAGAAAACTTTTCATCACATAACTCCAATAAGCATAATTATTGTCATCTAGTTGGGTGCTAATAGACTACATAGAGTCGTCTTTAGGAGCGATATTAACAACAATCAAACCAAACATAAACAACTGTGGAATACAAAGAAGAAGACAAAAAAAGAGCAAACAACAATCGACAATCAAGAAATTCCAACAATAATAATAACAAAAAAAACTTACTAACAACAAACGAACAAAGAAATGACGAAAATTACCAGAACATCTTTTGATCCGTTCAACTAAACTCTACTACACCATTCTCCACAATTAATAGATCAAAAGGAAATGATTAAATAACTTGAGTTATGATATCATATGAACAAATAAAGAGAGACATGAAAAAATACTAGAGTTTTATACGAAAGTAAAAGATGAATACAATACAAAGAAAAAAATAACTATAAACAAAAAAGCTATGTATGGTTAACCTAGCACATATAAAATAAACCCAATAACCCAACACTTTATTATTACATAAGGTGTTGTTTGGTTCGTAGAATGTTACTGAAGGAATTGCAATTGAAATTGAAAAATGAATTTGTCGGGATTTTGAATCCAATTTCATATCCTGTTTGGTTGGCAGAAAATGGAATTGGAATTAATTTCAGATCCTGTTTGGTTTGCAGGAATTGGAATTGGAATCCATGTGAAATCATAGAATGCCCTTTTGTCTATTTTACTTAATTTTACTTTGTTTTTTAAACATATATGTAAATATGCATTATATAAATTATAAAAATAGTAAAAATTTATTTAATGGGTTGTTAGGTTCGATTGCAACAGCAAGATGGTATAATTTGATTACAACATATTTCTGAAATATATTTCTATAATGAGCAGCAAGTTATTTTCAGATAACCAAAATGAAAAACATTTACCACAATAGCTTTTCTGTTCTATCACAACAACACTTCAAGAGAAAGAAAATGATTTTTTCCAGATTCTCATGGCAGCAACGATGTCACAGTAGCAAGATTGATAGCAACGATTTCAGAAAAATGTTATTAGCAGCAATTGAAGACAAAGAATTTTTTTTTTCAGATTCTCAACAACGGCCATTGTCACAGTAGCTCTGTTTGTGATCGACTTCTAGGGACTGTTTTGTTCGATTAGAGAGAGAGGGAGAGAGAGACAAATCACCTGCGATGAAGGTCGTCGGATGTCCCCTGTGATGAAGTGGAGAAGTAGGGGTGTAGGCATGTGGAGTAAACAGTAGGCCTTGGCCCACCTAACACATACTTGAGATTATATATACATATATATATATATATATATATATATATATATATATATATATATATATATATATATATATATATAATAAAAGGAATATAAGGACTCTAAATTACAAAATGTCTCATCAACCCAAAACATTAAATGTTTTATGTAGTATCATGAATCCTTTTGATGGCATGTAAAAATTAAATTTTTTGGAATACATGGAAATATTGTTCTTCTTGCACTTTAGTCTCCGCAATATTAATCAGGTTAGTATTCTTTTTTTGTTATTTAATTAATCAGTTGGCTATTTTATTTATATCTTATATAATTCTTAATTGACTTAGTTCTTTTCGATTTAGCATTGAAATTTACATGGATTTTACACTTTTATCATATATTTGTATGTATTTTATAAATTAGGTTCTTAATTTTTGCAATTAATTAATTATTTGAATTGTTGTATTATATGATGTATGATGATTTTATTGTTGATAGTCTGGTTCTTTACATCGAGAAATATATCGTTAATATTTTCAATTTAGACTCCATTTTAGAATATTTTAATGATGTAAAAGAGCGTCTTGTGCAACTTAAATGATCAATTTATTTTAAAAATACATGCATTGTTATATTTGAAATATTTTTCTCGTTTATATTTTGTAAATAATTTGGCCTACCCTAAAAGAAAATTTTAGCTATGCCACTGTGAAGAAGACGCCCAAAAGAGGCTGTCAGTTGAATGAATAAGAAGAATATGATGTTAGATTTACTGATAAAACCATGAAGCGTGTTGTTTACTTTCCATGTTGTGAAGGAATTAATTCCATTAGATTGTGAAGGAATGAACTTTCCTTCATTTGAAGGAAAAATATTTCATTTAGGATTTCTTTTCCTTACCTTAAAGGTGTACCAAACATAGGAATGTAAGAGAATTGAAATCACTTTCCCTCAAAATTCATTCCATTCTTGCCAAACAGACAACCCCTAACACTCTAAATATAATTATATAATATTAGACAATCAAATAAGATAATTGGTTATGTTAAACCGAGATATTGATGTAATGGTTAAATGTGCTTAGACCATCTTCAACTGATCTCAATTTTATCGTTAAAAATGGAGTAAAAAATGAGGCAAATAGTATTTCATCTCCAACCCTACTCCATTTTTACCTAGTTTTTACCCCTCAAAAGTATATTTCTAGTATATTCCATTATTCCAACTTACATAGATTGTCAAACACACCCCTCTACTAATTTAGTTTTAACAAATATATAATCTATATTTTTTCATTACATTAATATTAAATACAAAAGATTATATATATATATATATATATATATATATATATATATACACTAATATTAAACTTCTTAGACAACAATACTTTCATATCATTGGTTGTTTTTTTTTTCTTATATTGATTTACTTTTGTTATATATATTTGATACGTGTTGTTCCTTGCTCCCACCTCCAGCTGCTACTAACACATGTCTTCCACCGTTTTCATTCACCAATAAGATTAGTCCATCACACCACCGACGCCTCTACACTTAAATACCAAATGCTTTTGGTCAAAGATCTCCACCGACTCACTCCCTGCTTTTGCTCCTCTTCAACCTCTCCAGCTTCTCTTTATCTCTTCTTCCCATTCGTCTTCTACCGACAGATTTTGATGTTTTCACCTTTGACTTATTGTCTTCTTCACCATCTCTCTTCACCTTCTACTCTGTCATCATCAACAAAGTGGTTTTCCGATTATCGCACTAGTTGTATTTCCTTCACACATCCTTCGACGGATTCCAATACCGATGACTCAATAACGTTATGGAGAAGGTAACAAATTTGAAAGTCATTATTGAAGTCTACAACCTCATTAATTTCGATTCATCAAACTTTATCCATCTGTCCATTGCAAAGTGGTTCTCTGATTATGGCACCAGTTGTATTTCTCCCTGATGGCGTCCAAGACATCGACGTCAACACTGAAGAACCCTATAGCGGCGACAATAACTGGAACCCCACAACTTGAAACATAATGGTTCGTCTTCTCGTTTAATTTTGTATATTAGGGTTGATCTCCGGTTGTTCAGTATTTGTTAACAAACCTACTCTGTTAAAAAGAAATTAATTTGGGGCTTACTGTATTCTTTTTGTTGTTCAAAATTTGCAGATTGAAGATGCATATTAAGTGCTCGATGAAATGCTTCAAAGAATATTACGTATTAAATTTGTTACTATTGTTGCAGATTCTTGGCAAAGCTTCCGCAGGTTTAAAAATAAGCTCTCTTTTTTTTAAAGCGTCTGTTGAGTTTTTGTACTTGCTATTTTTTTCTTTTATGAAAATGTTTTGATAATTTGTAAATAGAAACTCTTTTATATTGTTCCACAAATTTCTTTTTTAACAGTGGTGTGTTATTGAAAGTCAACAAGGCAACACTGAACCTGCTTCACAGGGTGGGGAAAACAAATAATAGTAGATATAATATTATTTTATCTCTGTGTAATCGTTTGTTTAGTTTCAGGGTATGGAGATTGTGGAAAGTTCGAAAAAGTGTGAAACTGGCTACTTTTTATGGTGGCAACATGCTTTTGCTAGAGAAATATATAGCAAGAAACAGGGATGTTTGTCTAATGAATAAAAATGACTGTCTATTCGATAATTCTTTGTGTATTTTGTTTTAGTATTCTTTTGGAGAAATGTCAAGCTTTCATAGTTTGTGAATTTAGTCTTTTTTTTACATCATTACTAGATTTTTTTTTACTTATATATTTTGTTACTAATTATTATGTTTATAACATGTATTTCAGACATGTAAAAAGCTTAATCAAATTGAGCTCTTTGATTGTGAGGTGTATGCCTCTTCTGAGCACTGTCCTATGTGCTTTGGTGTCATTTATCTTTCAAGAATCAATGCGCAATTTCCTCTCTAATCTAAATAACATCTTTACCCTTTTGCCTAAAAATGAGAGTAAAGTTACGACACTATAAACAAATTTGTCCCTTTTGTAACAAGCTTTTACATTCTGCATGAACAAAGAGTGTAAATGACCATTTTACCTATCTAATCCAAAAAAGATTGATTATTTAGTTTATTTGTGTGGATGCAGAGGTTGGTTTATGGAGAAAAAGCGGAAGCACCAATTGCAATTGGGTTTGATGATTTCATTGCAGTTGCATTAAGCGATGCTGGATTTTATCAAAAGGCTTATCTGGAGATTAATAAAACAGACAGAAATAGAGTTGTTATTACATAACAACTATTTGAAAACACCAAAGCCAAAATCTCCATGTATTGATTTCATTTTATACATTTTCAACATTATTATTATTATTATTATTATTATTATTATTATTATTATTATTATTATTATTATTATTATTATTATTTCTCTATTATTCTCAACAATTGATTACAGAATCTCAATTGTTCTTGCATTAAACACTATATCTATATGCAAATGTTTTTATGATCTAACTTCAAATTCAAAAAGGTTTAACATGTTACATATTGTGTCTAAATCGGTAGATAAACTATTTTACTCGTGTTTAGAAGTGACAGATAGATAAACTACCACATTTCATAGCAGTATCATTATTACCATTTTGCCATTGATCTCTAATATGACACGTTTCTACAACTATATATCTAAAGCAGCAAAAAAAAAACTAAAAAAGTAATATGAAAAACTGGAGGTTTTTCATCGGTTTCATTTATTAAAAGTTTTTTTTTCTTCAGATTGTGGAATGCTTTGTATAATGAGTATTGTTAGAGAGTAATTTTACAAGAAGAAACCCAAAAAATACAAGGGCGATGAATGACTTTTTTTGATGAAATGTAATATTTGTATCAACTCAATTGCGTAACCAACCCCGCAACGCGGGATTCTTCCCTAATTTATAGTAAACGTATAAATAAATATTATACATGCATTTATAAAAAATATTACACATACATACTTTTAAATAAATATTATATATATATATATATATATATATATATATATATATATATATATATATATTAAACACACACTTTTAATTATAAATTTTTGTAAAATACGTTATCGTTTTTTAAAATTTCAATATGTATTTAAATTTTTATATGAATTTGATGAACAAAAAACAAATTTTATATTTATAATTATTTAATATAATTTAATATACAACAAAATATTATAAGTATTAAATATTATATTTAAATTAGAATTAGTAGGTAAAAATGAACTATAAATGTATAAGGGTAAATGACACAAAAAACACTCTTTTTACACAGAAATTCGATTTTGATACCGTGTTTTTTTTTGTATCAATTTTGACACTATGTTTTCCAATTTGTTACAATTCTGACTACTTGACCGGTTAACCAGGTTACATGCTTACGTGGCATGATGACGTATCAATTTTGATGACGTGGCGTGCTGACATGATATGCTGGCGTGTCAAAATTGATTTTTTTCACAAAAAACACTAAGTTTTCACTTTTTTCGGTTTTGACACTAAGTTTAATTTTTTATTTCAATTTTGACACTATGTTTTTTTGTTCCAATCGAACATCATTTATCAAATTTTGTTCAATTTTGTCTATATTCCATTTGAAATCGTATAAATATATTTTTTTTATACATTTTAAACCGTATAAACATATTTTTTTTTGCTTAAAAACCACATTTTTATTTAAATACAATGTGTTTTTTTTTTCTTACATTAAAAGCATTAATTAGTTATATCATGAAAATCAAACTAACAATAAACTTCTAATAAGATGTAAAAATTTGATGGGTTGCAAACTTGATATCCGAGTTTTGATTGACTACACGCCTCCAAACCGCCAAACACATTTTTAAGTTGCATATTTAATATAAAATACAATTTTTATATAACTAATACATATTTATATATAAAAATATGGTTTGAGCGTACAAAAAAAACAAATTGTATTTGTATAAAAGTATGGTTTTTAAATGAAAAAAAAAACATATTTATACAGTTTAAATGTATTAAAACAATATTTATATGGTTTTAAATAGAAAATTATCAATATTGAACAAAATTAGAAAAAATGATGTTCGATTTGGAACAAAAAAAACATAGTGTCAAAGTTGAAAGAAAAAATTAAATTTAGTATCAAAATCGAAAAAAAAAATGAAAACTTAGTGTCACGTCATCAAAACTGACACATCATCATGCCACGTCAGCATTTAACCTGGTTAACCGGTCAAGTGGTCAGAATTGTAACAAATTGAAAAACACAGTGTCAATATTGACATAAAAAAAACACAGTGTCAAAATCGAATTTATGTGTAAAAAAAGTGTTTTTTGTGCTATTTACCCAATGTATAAATATATAAACAGAGGGACTATAATCGACAACGTAAAGTTCATCCTCATTTTGGTAGAAATGAATAATATAACACCATATTTGGTGTAATACTATTCATATCTCCCAAAATGAAGGAATAAATTGGGGAGAGTTGGAGAAGAATGGATGAAGAAATGAAAAAAAAATGGAGAATGAAAATGGGTTGGAGATGCTCTTCTACTATTGAAATTGTAATAGATGAAACTAGTAATTGTTTCGGTGTTTCGATAAATTATGATTATTTAGTTTACTAACCCATAAAAAAACATAGTCTTCCAATGATTTAACTGATGTTTATATTCGTCATTTTGTCTTTCTCTCTAAAAATGAAATACCGGTATATATTAGTAACAGATGAATTTTCTTATCAATTCGAGTTGCAAAAACCTTTTCCAACTAAAACCAACCAAACCATAACAATGTTATGGAGCTTAAGAGTTCCCATTCGAATATTGTGATCATTAACTATATAAACCTTCTTGTTGTTTTCAAAACATTGATTTATTTGGACACAACAATTAAATGCATATTTACCAACGTAACTTAGATCATTCCTTATTTCAAACAATCTAAAGTAAAAACAAATTTTCATTTATCCTCCATTAATAATAATTTATTTATCTTAATTGTAGTATCGTATCAAGACTTGATAGTTAAATAAATTCTACTATCTTTCTTTGAACGAAACCGATCAAAAGTTTAATCATAAGACAAACTTATTTTCGATAACATATTACATACTTGTTGTATGTGCTAAATCCTCAAAATAAAAATATTATTATTTCTATTCATTAAGTTATTAATCAATTTGATCAACATGAACCCATTTTTATATGATATAAACACCTATATATACAACCATTATTAAGCAACATCACACTCCTAACCTAAAAATGAAACATGACACAAAAAATATACTCCAACTTTTCATCTCTTTACAAACATTTGGGCTTCTCTTTCAACTATCAGGTAAATATCTTGAGTTTTTGTTTAATAGTGTATTCTTTTTTAATTATATAACATAATCCTTTTATGTTTCTTTTAGCAATAAAAACATCCAAATTCGTAAGTGAACTTTTTATTATATTATAGGTTACTTACAAGTAACTAAGTGGCAAAATTGTCATTTCATTTCTATATCTTATCGGAATGTAGAAGAGAAGCAAATCTGAAATTTGTACAACTTGTGCATGCACAATGTACAACTCATTACAGCATGGTATATATTGATTTGCTTATTTCCGTTGTTTCTTTGCACAGCTGCTATCCCTATCGGAATCTGCTACGGCCGCGTCGCCAACAACCTTCCACCGCCCTCAGACGCCGTGAATCTCATTAAAACCAATGGTATCTCAAGCGTTCGACTATTCAACCCTAACCCGGAGTCACTAAAGCCGTTTTCCGGCACCGGAATCCAACTCACTATCGGAGTCCCCAACGAAGAACTCCCTTCCATCGCCACCAGCAACGCCACCGCCGCTCAGGAATGGCTTCAATCCAATATCTTCGCCCACGTCCCAGCCGATCAAATCCGGTACATAGTCGTCGGAAACGAAGTATTTCTAAAAGACCCATTTTACACACCCCACGTGATCCCCGCCATTTCAAACATTTACGAAGCTTTAAAATCTATCGGCCTATCGGAAAAGATTAAAATCTCATCAGCACAAGCAGCTTCGATTCTCTCAAACTCTTACCCTCCATCATCTTCATATTTCGACCCGAATATCTTAACAGATTTAAACCGACTCCTTCAATTCCTCCGCGACACATCATCGCCATTAATGGTGAACGTGTACCCTTACTTTAGTTACATAAACAACCGGGAATTCGTGTCGTTAGACTCTGCTTTATTCAGATCTGGGAATTCATTGCATGACCAGGATCTGGTTTACGATAATTTGTTTGATCAGACGGTTGATGCGTTCATATACGCGATGGAGAGAGAAGGGTATGGTGAGATTCCGGTAGTGGTGACGGAGACCGGGTGGCCGACGGAGGGCGGAGAAGCGGCGAGCGGGGAGAATGCATTGTGTTACAACGGGAATGTTGTGAAAAGAGGTTTGGATAACGTTGGTACACCCAAAAGGCCTGGGATCGGTGTGGAGGTATTCTTGTTTGACTTGTTTGATGAGGATGAAAAAAACGGGAATGAATTCGAGAAACATTTTGGGATTTTTGGGGTTAATGGTGTCAAAGCATATGATCTTAATTTTCAGTGAACAAAACTCAAAAATATGATTATATGAATATTTCACCACATAAGCTCGTCTTGTATGAATTCGATACTTCATACTTCATAGGTGTATTTTTTGGAATTCCTTTGGGCTTTTAGAGCTTAACATCGGCCCGTTTACCGTTTCTTTTTTCTTTTTTATGATATTTTATAAATTTAATCCTCCGTATTTTACTATTTTACCCTTCTATAACTTCTGTACTTTTGGCATGTTGGGAAGTTTATAAATCGTTGGGTTGCGTGTAAAAAATAATTCATGTGTTTTACGGTATCAATACCAAATGCAAGGCAACTCGCTTGCTCGATCGATAAATCTTTGACCTTTTATTGGACCTTTCACATTTAGACCCTAAATTTTATTGTAAGTCAAAAATAACCCTACAAACTCACCCACACTTGTGGGATCATCTAATATCCGAATATATTTAGGGTTCGGAAAAATGGGCCTCTTGAAAACGTGAAAATAAATGAATGTATGAACCAAAACAAATCTTTGTTTCCCAAATTTGGCTTTGCTAGGGTTGTTTGTCCATTCAACTAATGGTGGTGGACTAAAAAACAACGTTTGTGTTTGTATCTAGCCTTTAGGCCACAAAGTCATGGGGTATATGTATATCCACCACACTATCACACTAAAAGTGTGATACTCAAAGTCAATC